TATATTTTAGATTTTTTATATTTAAAATAAGATGTTTATCCTGTATTTGATTGTGTTTATCTGCAGTTAGTTACACGAATTCAGATATGAGATGAAATCGGATAGGGATGAAATCGTTTAGGGATGAACGAGTTTAAGAGTTTTTAAGAGTTTTAAGAGTTTAAGAGTTTTTAAGAGTTTTAGCCAAATGCTTTATAATATAGTATAGATAGTATAGATATAGGTTTAATAACGAAGTAATTTATATTTGATTTAATAATATAATTTTCTTATAAAGATAGTAATTAATTATTTTGTTATAACTCGATAATTATCCTAATTATATTTAAATTTTTTATATTTTAAAATGAGATGTTTATCCTCTAATTGGTTATCTTTATCTGCAATTAGTTACGTGAATTCAAACATGGAGCTTTGTAAGTTGTACTTATGCATAATTTACTTGTAATGCATTAATATACAGTATTTCATGCATAAAAAATGGTTTTTTAAGAGTTAATTTGGTACTAATATTTTTGTCAAAATTTTATGATATTTTCAAATTTATATTTTATTAGAAAATAAAAATATCATCGTTTTTTCATAATCACATAAGACCATACTTAACATTGACTGAGATAAATAATAAAGTGAAATATTAAAATCAAGATGTATCTCGCTGCATTGCGTGAGTACCCTTCTAGTTAATTAAGATATGTGAGATAGAAATTTTTTATTTTTATTTATGTTATATGTAATGATTATTTAAAATCATAAATAATAGATTTTTCTAAAATTTATTTTAACACAAAATCCAAATATTAATAATAATCAATTTAAAATTATTCTAATTAATATATTATATTTTTTAGTTTTTTAGTATCTTGTTTGTATTAGTTAATAGTAGAAGGGTACTCGCGTAATGTAATGAGATATATCTTTATCTTAGTGTTTTATTTACCTTGTCTCTGTTAGTGTAATATGGTTTATATAGTTTTGAAAATGATAATATTTTTACTTTTGAATAAAAATAAATTTGAAGATAACATAAAAATTTGAAAAAATATATCGATATTATATCAAATTAACTATTTAAAAGTTCTCATTTTTTGTACAATTTTATTAATTCAAAATTTTATTATAATCTAATTTAGGTCTAATAGCGAAGTAATTTACTTTTGGCTTAACAATGTAATTTTTATAAAGATAATGATTATCCTAATTATATTTTAGATTTTTTATATTTAAAATGAGATGTTTATCCTGTATTTGATTATGTTTATCTGCAATTAGTTATACGAATTCAAAAATGGAGCTTTAATAGGTTGTACTTACGCACAATTACTTGTAATTTTAAGTTTTAAGTAATATGCATTAATAAACGGTAATTCATGCATAAAGAATGATTTTTAAGAGTTTTTATCAAATGTTTTATAATATAATATATATATTATGATATTATAAATTTTTTTAAATTATATTTGAAATATTATAATTGATTAATTTTTTTAAAATGATTTTTTTGATCCATTAATATTTTTATCAGTTAGTTTTATCAAACATGATTTATTTATTAATTAACATTTTAATTAACAGTTAACTTATCACTAATTTATTAAATAAATATTCAGATGATTTTGAACCTTTCACATTTATGGTCTTTTGGGAAACGGGAAACATTTGTTGGAGCCTGCATAGTACATATATTTTTAACCACCATCCACAGAGTTTCTACGCAGCGAAGCGGGGAGAGAGAGAGAGGGAGAGATTGGAAATGGTGGAGAACGCAACCACGACTTCTTCTCCTCCGACAACGTCTAATCATGATACGAATGCAAAGGTTTTAACCAATACATCCAAAATGAGAGAAGAAGGCGAGCTATCTGCTTCGGAGAACGAGGTATTCTATAAAACCCTAGAGTATTTCATTGATTTTTTTTGTTAATCGTTTCAATGGTAGGATGCGTGTTGAATATGTTGTTATAGATGTTTTCACCTCAGCTTTCATTTAACGCGATGCGTCGTTAGCTAAATCCTCGTAGGGTTTCTTTCTTTAGGTTTTTGGTATTTGTTTTTTACTGATTCTGTTTCGGTTTAGTTTTATTCGCATAAATAATCATGTAGGGTTTTTACGAAACTGAATTAGGCAGTGAGGAACCTATGTTTTATCCCAATTGTAGTAATATTACCTTTTGTTGTGTGTGGATAAAGGTAGTAATATTATCTACGTATTTGTTTGAGGAGGCTATCACATATTCACATCATATCGATTCACTGTGGATTATCATCATCATCATCATGTTGTTGCTTCTTGGACTTGACGCTGTAATGTTTTATTCTATTTGGAGCAGTGGTTATATGCCCTTCAATCGTGATCCTTTTGTTTTTGTTTTACCAACCTGTTTTTATTTGTATTTCAAGTATAAAATAACGATCTGAGGCCTTTAAGAAGCTCAATTTATTTTAATCATGAGAATTTTACTTAACCTGATGTCCATTTGGCTATACATTTTGAGAACTTTTAAATTGCAACAGCCTGGCTTGGTCTTGCTACTGTAATTTGTTGTTTTATTTGGCACTTTCTTGTGGTGTATATGGACATAGATGTGTTTATGGTATCTTCAATAAGCTGTGATTGAAGCAGGAAATTTGTTGAAAGGATTAGTAGCTTTATGAAACGACAATAGGCAATAGGGCATTTGAGAGACCATACAGTCTACAAGTTATATCTGTTAAATTACAATATTGCTTCTCGTTTACGTGTAGGGAGATACATCCATTCATCTTCATGTTGGTTGAGTTATTTTATGACTATTTTTGTTGTTTGTTGTTTGTTGATTGACGTGGTTCTTTACATCATACTTCTGTTTGTTATTCATTTATGCATTGGTCTTTATATGTAAATGCAATTAATATATGTCCTGTTCAGTTGTTCTGTAGTGAAAACCTTGTTGCAAGGGAACTTACATGTTTCCTGCCTATTATTGGTAATTTGAGCTGTTTTCATGCTGATACAGTGAGGTTGTTCCAGGAGTTTGCAGGTTCTCAGTTCCCTGAAAGCACCACTCTTCCAGGGGCTCTATTGAACAAGGATAACGATGTTGTTGAGATGGGTAGGTCGTCTAGCCATTGAACTTTGTTTTAACATTGGCTGTTACATCTTCTGCCTCAGGTGCTCTACCCTTTTCATTATAACTTTACTGAAAGGGAATACATATACATGATATGTACAGCCTAATGTGAGTTGAAAAGGACAAAGACAAAGGCCCTTGTTTACCTGATGAAGGATGAAACACTATGACATAATACTTGGACCTCTAAACCAATTTCCTCACAAATTCCACCAAACAACATTCTGCCTTGTTATATTTATTTCTGTTAAAAGGGAAAAGCCTACAAGTACGACGAGGTAGTAACTTCTAAAAGCATACTTTAACATGGTGATTGAACTTACATAACACATGCACACACACGGACTTATATTAGACACAGGAAACACATTAACGAAACATGTGATTGAACTGATCAGATGAAACGGATAGTACTTTCTCATTTTGAGGTGCTCCAGCGATACTATTTATAAGAGAAGAGAAGAGGAAAATGGCAATCCGTTTGAAAAGAAAGAAAATCCTATCTAGTACCCATTAGAACAGCCAATCGACTGCGTAAGCAATAATAAAAACTTGTACAATGAATATAGGTGGTGACTGGAGCAGAGGAAGAAATATATATGCTGCTTTCTTGTTACCAGTTGTGCTATTCTCTTTCTCTTGGCACATGTATTAATTTAATTTCCATCTTTTGGTTGTAATTTTCAATTTATGAAGAACCTTGTGCTCTGGGCGAACTTGCCATATGCTGCTTTAATATGTGCATGTAATCCATGACCCCCATCCGTGTATATATATATATATATATATATATATATATATTGAGTCAACACATGATTATACATAGAAACATAATTTCAGACTATCCTTTTGTATTTCCATTTGTAAGTTTTCGATATGTCGTTACCTGTCAAACTGTGTAATTAATAGGCTTGGACTCTGTTAAAAGCCATTGTAAGCAAGTAAAACCGACATCTGATGTTTCATTTGGCATGGTTATTCGGAAGTTTTAATTTCCATGAAAACTACTGTACAAGTACAATGCTTGGGGTGTTTCTGAGATGATCTCTTGATGTTTTCTGCATGCTTGATAGGGAAATCTGTTGTGACTCACAATCCTACATCCTCTGCTGTGGCAAGAACTTCTGTGCATCTGAATAATCGTAAAGGTACAGAGAAGTATCGGGTGCCATTTGTGATTAGTTTCTCAGATGATGACAGTGGCAGTGATTCTGAAGGAGAAAGGAAAGGAAACACGATGGACTCTGATGACACAACAAGAGGAGTCATCGAGAATAGAAAATTGTCCACTTCATTGGGGAACTCACGATTGATGCAACAAACTGCCAAAACTAACACCAGGATACCCAAAAACTTTTCTACAAGTCGTACATTTGTTTCATCAATGAACAGAGTTAATGGAACCTCATTCAAGAGTGGTGGAGGCACATTTGTTGGGCCAAAATCTCAACCTAAAAAATCTAGTGCCCCTGGCAAAAATAAAGTAGGCCAAAACGTCCATATTAACAGCAGTAAGCTCCAAGACTTAAGGCAATTGATTGCAATTCGTGAAAATGAGTTGAAGAGTCGAGCTGGCAAACATGATAAGGAGGTAGCTTCAAGTTCATTAAAGAATAGTGCAAATGCGACTTTGAAGAGCACCGCTGTTAGGAGCAGAGATTCTGCTGAACGCTTACTTGTTGAACCAAAGGAGCCAGAAAAGAAGCGACTCAAAGTTAGCGAGCCTCCTACAAACACTCTAATTTCTGTTGGCCAACATGATAGGCCTTCTACAGAATCTACATTAGTGGCCAGAATTTCTGCCCTTGAAAGTGATGGCCTGAAGGGTAGATATGATGGTAACTATTGTGACAAAGAAATTCTAACCGGAACAAGGCAGTCGAGTGCAATGCAGCAGATTAATACAGTGAAAAATCACACCCCTTCAACGAATCTACCATCAGGTTGGAAAGAAGCCATGAATTATTTTATGCTAAAGTTTTATTAATCGTCGCGGGAGGTATGATACAAGGTAAGTGTTGGCTGTGTAGGTACCAGCATAGTCAGGAATAGTAGGCGGCACAACAGGATCACAAACCTGGCGGAGTCTTCTGCACCATTAACAGCTAAAACTTCTCCACATAGACAGGTACGAGTAATTTATACAAGGTGGAGAAGTTGGAATCAACTTTAAAGCTTAAATTCTAGTTGAAATTTGATGTTTGTCCGTTATGAATTCTGACTGTCATACTTGCTTCCATATGGCTGGATATCTTAACGAAACTTCCGTTGGTTATTTATTTTAAAAGCCAACTCTGTTCTTACCGATGTGAATATGTTCGCACTACACCATGTATATTGATACACATTACACAGGAGCATAAACATGTAAAAGGAGCATGCAAGGAAAGTTACAGTATTACTATCTGTTACTAAAGTCCCAAAATTATGATATGCGTCCCCCTTACCTCTTTGGACGGTCAAAATCCACTTTTTGCAGTTGGGTCAATGTACATTGACTTCATGAACAAAATTTATAAATGGAATCGGCAGTCTTGCGTTTCCAACTTGGTGAAGTGGACTTCTAGTTCTGGACACCACACAAACAACCGTCTATTTCACACACTACTTGGATTAGGTGAATTAGGCTTCAGAGGCTTGTTTCTTCTTTTCTTTTCTGTTATTTAGCCTTCTCCAGTAACAGTCTTGCGGCACCTTGTATGCTTTAAGTAACTGCAATATCTCTTAGAGCATCTAGTAAGTCCAACTATTAAGTTATCTATTGGTATGAGAGGGAGATAGGCTCAGTAAGCGACCTTGCACAGAGAGGGCAAAGGTCATTGGACTATTTTATTATATGGGTCTTACCAACTATATCAATTGTTTGACATAGGTATACAACTTTTTCTAAAAATGCTCAAGGAGCCATTTAATCTTTCATTTCCATGACTTATTTGAAGAAATTTCACTCTTGTGCAAGTAGTTGCTTATGTGATGACTATATCACACAGAAAGCATGCACATGCTCATAACTATGCACTATAATGGTTCAAATGTACTTGCAACCTTGTGAAGTGCACTATAGTGGTTATGTATAAGACCCCTTTCTTGCTATTGGAAAGGGAGGTCATAAAAAACACTGAACAAGCTGAAGAGAGAACTGACAAATTCTCCAAATTGAGCAACAATTAGTTAATTCAATCATAAGCCAAGTTTTTTCTCCTAACTATAAGTGTGATATGCTAAATTAAATCTACAATTTCAATATTTCAATGGAAATCAAAACTGAAATGGAATTTCCAAATAAATCTCCTCTTAAAGCTAACAACTCTATTTTTACACATCCCAGAACATGGCAGATTTACCTACCGGAAGAAAAATACACATTGAGCCAGTTACCTGGTATGTATTTGGATTACAGAATGATCAAATATGAAACATTTTAGAAATCCATCTTGCATGAATTAGAATAGTAATTTTGGATTTTTTCCTTAAAATATTACAACCGAACCCCAGAGTGGTTAAAAATGAGACTGAGGCAACGATAAGTTGTGTATATTTATATTTAGTGGTCTACAAAATAGAAATCATAAAGTGCACCAGACATATGATGCCATCTAAAATAATACGTTTGATTTATTTGGCTCTTAATTGTATCCAAGATCAGGTGTGTATGACACTACATCACACAATTGCAGAAGAAAACATCATAGAAACCAGGGTCGATTCGGTGGTGTCACTGTCATGCCATGGGCGCAGCAATGACATGCTTGTGGTCCCCCGACGGTGCTTGATTTGTTTTTACTTGTTATCGTGTTTACAAATCTACGGTTTTGTGGCTGCACTGGAAAATGCAAATCCAGCCTCAACACTAGAGAAAGTTCACCATGCGTACGACTCCTAAATGAATAAATATCAAACCACGAACTTTGGATCACGCAAAAATGTAATATTACAAAGTCTCACCAAATCTTATTTAAGCGAAGGTGTTCTCAATTTTGAAACAATTACTTTTGCAAAAAGTTTCACGAGTTACAAATGTGGAAATTGACACAGCGATTGGATTGTAAAGAATCCCATTTATATATGACAAACATAACAAAGAGAACAAAACAAATTAACGCTAAAATGGTATGAAAATATTAATTATAACTAATAGTGTATGGGTTTATCTTTGACTATTACTTTACTTCTATATTTATTTATTTTCTTTGTCCAAATCAAAACCCAAAGTATCGGCTAATTATATAATGGCCATATATTTGGCATCATTATTCTAGCATCCAATCTTTATCTTTATCATTGTCATGATTTATTTAATTTTTGTTTCTTTCATCAAATCTTAACATTTCAAGCCTATGATACAAAATGTACAATCACATGATTGTCTTCAGTGGCACAATTGTTGATTATTAGTTGTGTCATCACTATCATGGCATCATTATGTAAATCATTGAAAGTAACCCAGATTCAATGCTGTTAATTAACAAGCTAATTATCACAAAGTTCATTCTCATTGATTTAAAAAGAATTATACCTTGTGAAGTCAAGAAACATGCAGCAACCTCCTAGATTTGCTGCACTTGTACCTGCTCAAGAATTCCGTTAAGAAATGCATTTTTGATATCTAGTTGATGTAATGGCGGTGATAGTGATGTATGCATATCCTGAATGAAATGAGACGAGTTGATGTCATCTTGGGCTCTTGGCAACTAGACTGCATGTTTGATCATAGTCCTCATCATACGTCTGAGAATATCTTTTGGCTACAAATGGGGCTTTATCAAATAATCTCAATCAGTTTGACAGTTTACACTCACTTGCAACCAACCGTATCCTTGTTGGCAGGAAGATCAACTAATTTTCAGGTTCCATTCTGATTTAGGGCCAGATATTAATACCTTACTAAAAATCAAAATGAAGTTTGTAAATAATCTCTAAAACCACATGCCAGAAGTTATATTGAAGGTTGGAGGATGTCACCGTCGGATCCATCTAACCAGGATTTCCTAATTCGAAATTCACTCGCATTCAACCACGCTTAAATTATACATGCTATCTTTGCTTTCTCTTTTTTTCCGAATTCTGAATAAATAAGACAACATTTTATTAGGTTAGTCTTTTTATAGGACTTCTGCGAACTAAATGGGGGAAGATGTTACTGCGTTAGCTATATTTAAGCTGGTCTTGGGCCTAACTTGAAGTTTGGAATAAAAGTATCATAACAAGAAAATCCTTAAGGCAACAATTTCTAAATTTGCATGGTGGAAACTATGCAGCATGACACTTGTACACATATCAACACAAAACTATCCACAATAGATATTTCCAAAAGAAGTCGATTTGACACAGTTGGGATTCACCGAATATATATGATATTATAAACAATTTTTTTCCATGTTAAGATTATAAACGTCCTGATGAAATTTGCTCCAGCATATCAAATGTTTTGGAACTTATGTCGACATTATTCACTTGAGAGTTAAGAAAAGACAATAGCTAATTAGAATTCTTCGAATATTATAATGTGGAAGTTACCTTAATGCCAGGCAAAATTTTGTTTATCTTGGTGATTGTTGTTGATCTCAGTTCTATATGGTTGATAATTCTTTGAAGTTAGGAATACAAGTGCTTTAAAGTTGTATAATGCATTTATTAAGCATCATAATTTGTTGTATAACCCCTAAGCAAATATAATTTCTTTCTCAAGTCTCATTAAGTAGCCGTTAAGGGTTTCTACAGAAGCTTAACCTTCCTTATATCACCTTAGTTGGCAAAAGATGAATCTCTGCATGGAGTTCTATTAATTCAAACTAGCCTTTGTGCTGTAGCGTTTGCAGAAGTTTGAGCTCATGATGCATCAAGGCTGTGTGTAGACCATGTTTCCCTAGTTTTGTGCTGCTGCTTTATTTAGTTCTCTAAGGAGGTCGACCTATCCTTATAACATAATTTTGCTAATTCAAAAAAATATATTGTAATTGCATCCTACTCTTACAACTCATTGTATGATAGACAAGTAGAATATGCGATTTTTTGTAAACTATAAGTATGACCTTCAAATAGTTTTTTGAATTATTCAGTCTTATATTGGTTTTAGCGAACTGCTAGTATGAAGCATCTTGTAAGTGAATCTCATCATAGACCAATACCATCCTGAAGAGTCTAAAGGAGATAGCATGTTGATCTAATTTAAAAACTAGCAGTGAATTGCGTGTGCTGAGATTACATAAATTGCATTCCACTAGTCTTCATGCACTGTTGTTAGGGTAATGAATCATCGTTGATGTTGAACTGACCATGATCAACTACTTTCTTGTCAACTGATTCAAGGGATGTTTGAACAATTCAAGCTTTTGGAATCATTTTGGTGCCACAAACATGTCAAAAACTGGTGACATGGATATTAAATCGCTACTAGAGATTGAGGAATTGCAAGACAAGGAACTGGATGAAGCACAGGAGCATCGGCGCAAATGTGAAATTGAAGAAAGAAATGCTCTAAAAGCTTACCGCAAGGCTCAGAGGGCGTTGGTGGAGGCTAATGCTAGATGCTCCTATCTTTATCATAAAAGGGAATTATTTTCTGCTAATCTTCACTCCCATGTGATGGAAGACTCGAGCATGTTCTGGTCGAATATGCCGCTTGAGCACACTGGAGCTCATGTGAACACTATGACTAACATGTCAGAAAATAATATGCACTTGGTACCGATTTCACGTCATCAACTACAGAATGACTTCCATCTTCGAGATCAACATCAGTATGGTTTAAATGTCAGGTCTACAGATGATCTGCGTGAAGATGGAAAAAATTTGGTTTCTGAATCATGCGGTGAACCTGATACCAGTGCATCAGAGCCTCAGGAGGAAGAAAAAACAAATGACGTATGCTCTTCACTGCATGAGACTAATACTTTAGGCGAGGATGAACAAACATCTGCCTTTGAGCTTAAAGCTGGTGATTCCAGTCTAGATAGTCAAGGGGAAGGGATATGTAGTGAAAGGACGAAAGAAATAAACGATGATACAATGACCCTTGACCCCACTGAAGACTCGTTGCTTCTTGAAGCAACATTGAGGTCTCAACTGTTTGCAAGGTTAGGAATTAAAACTTCAAAGAAGAATGAATTGGGTCAGAGCATGGAGACTGCGGTTGAAAGAGAGGATGGGGAAATAATGGAAGGTGCTGGAAACATACCATCTCCGGAGACAGAGAAGGACCAACTTAATGATTTTGAAGGTACATGTTATTCTTAGGAGTGAGAGCTTGAAGCTGGTGTTCTGGTACCTTCTTATGAAGGTTCTGCATTTGTCCCAAAAATGAGTTCACTTGTGAATTCAGATGCTTGAACCAAGTGCTTTTCAAAATGAAGTTACCAAAGAATTTTTGGTAATTCGTCTCCCAGTTGTTTCTACTCTAGTATCCTTTTATACAGTCAAATGTTGTTATCAAACTTTTTCAAACTAACAAAATAACATTGGCACTTTCAATGTTTTAGAAACGACTCATTTGATGCAAAATTCAATTATATATTGGGATGTCTGTAGTATCCTCTTGCTGTCATAATTTTAGCGAGATAGCAGCAAAAAGAATACCTTAGAGATATAAATCATAACTGATATCTGCTTAACTTCATGGCTTCAAGTTTAAAAAAGAAACGACAACTTAAATTTGAAAAGAACAGACAACCTTCAAGGTCTCCCCTCCAGAATAATAACCAAAAGTAAATAAACCAAATCCTTAGTATTCTGGCACTTATATCGTTGTCCTTGTTTCTAATACATTATATTTTTCATGCAACAAATAGATGTCGGGAGGTCAGAGAAAAGTATATCCGAGTATCCTATGGGTATCAAGGACCAGTGCCCTGCTGAGAAGTTTTCTGTTAATAATGGATCTTCTTTGGCTGAGCCAATTCTGAGAAGTTCTTTTGGTTATGCAAAGTTCACCTCCGACATGAATTCTATGCCTTCACATACCAAAAACCTGCAGATCCACACTAATGATATATATGATGAGAAGAAAGTCGTTGATGGTGTTTGTGGGGCCACACTTACTGATATAGTTTCCAATGCAAACAAAAACTCCTTATTGGACATGTATGTCCCTGAAGTTGGTTCTTGCTCCAACAACTTAGCAATCAACCCCTTTTGGCCTTTTTGCATGTTTGAGCTACGAGGTAAATGCAACGATGATGATTGTCGTTGGCAACATCTCAAAGATTATTCATCCAGAAGCATTGATTGTAACAACAGTGGTATGAACTCCCTGCCTTTTTCTTCCAAAATAAGAATTTTGCTATCTTGAATACTTATAATCACATCATCTATGCAGATAATGTACTTGGATCATCATTGCAGATGAGAAATGGTGCAACTATTGTTTCTAAGTGCCTTGGTTCTCTTCCTTTGGCTCCACCTACTTATCTTGTGTGCTTGGACAGTTTGAAGGGTGATTCACATCCATATAAATATCTTGTAGCTCATACTGTTAAACAACGCTGGCAGAAGTATTTTAGTGCTTCCTTGGTTGTTTCAAGTTCACTTCTAGGGGATTTGCACTCAGATGAGCCATGTCTGCATGGCCCTGAAGCGCGCATTGAGATCCATGGGGTTTGGAATAGGCAATCATCATTTTTTCATGGTAAAAATGTCAAAGAGGTTAGTCCACATGCCTCATTGCTCTATTTTTCTTTTCTTCATTTTTTTTGAGATTTTGGTCTATTAGCATCTCCAACGGATTCTCCAAAATTTCTCCAAGATGGAGAACCAAAAGTTAAAATCTCTAAAAAAAATTACATTCAACTCCAACAGATTCCTAATTTGGAGATTGCAACATTAATTATATTATTTAAATATTTCACATTTAATAGAATATTATTTCTCTCTCATAAACATTTAACATCAAGGTTTCTTATTTGTGGGATTATAATAAAAAACGTTTCTCCCATGGTAATAATTTTTGGGGAGTTATTGAAATTTGGAGAATTTCACATTCTCTCTCATGTTTCTTGGAGAAAGTTTGGAGAATCTGTTTGAGCAAAAATTTGCCTAAAATCTCCATTTTGGAGAATCTGCTGGAGATGCTCTAAGTTGCTACTCTTGTATAAGATGACTTCATGCACTTTGCATCAGGTATATTACATTCTCTCCCTTGCCTCCAGAATCCCCCTACTTTGAGGAAAGCGTTTCCACCCAAGAATATTCTTTTGCAGTTGAGGATATTTGCTAATTGTATATAATATTTGGGAAGTTGCCTGTGGTGATGCCAGTTCTAGTGAGAACATGAGTTTTGAAATTAATAGCTTAATTCAGAGATAAATTGAAAATTTTGTGTTGCAGTCAATGGTTGGATGCCAAGGATTCTGTAGTTGCATTTTTGTATATGGTGTTGGATTATTTAGCAGTGTGTTACTACTAATACTTTTTTTCCGAATAACTATTAGTACTTCTATTAGTTTTATATCTTTGTCTTTCTGTTATGGCCCTAGCTGGGATGCCTGATAATTAATAGAAGTGCAAAATTGGTTGCTTCAGTTTGCTGCTTGAATTTCATGTGAACTGTTTTTTAGTGGAGTTTCATGCGACTGGCTTCACTTGATGAGCCTAAGGATGCTGAGTACATGTCCTCTGAACTGTGTCTTCAGCCTCTAGTGCTCGTTCATTTTAGATACAATTTAATTTTAATGGTATCTTCTTTTTTGCATTATTTGTCTTGTAATCATGGGCTTCCTCATGGATGACACTAATCTTTGGGATTCTGACATTTCTATATAAATTATGTTTATACAGGGTCTGTCAGATCAGCTTATGGATGACACTAATCAGCCTCTTGAAATAGCTCTTCTTACTCTCAGTAGAGAGGTTAACAAGCAGAAGGGACGTAGAGAGGTATTTGTGATGCATGTGCCTCTTATGCATATTTAGTTATTTTCTGGATAGCATATGTCACATACTTGATTAATGGAAATATGCAGGCTCTTATAGTCATCGCTCGAGCCCTCGAAGAACATCCTACATCTGCACTTCTCTGGATTGTCTATTTGCACATTTACTATGGCAATCAGAAGTCTATTGGAAACGATGACCTGTTTTGTCATGCGGTATGTGCATGGTTGTCTTTCTCTCATTTTCAGTATCATATTATCAGGAGCTTAAACCCCATACTCTGCTATCTATGTTAAATGGAGTCTGATTCTGTATTGTGCTTTGTATTATCTATGCTTGCTTGTCTTTATGTGGATTATAGAAGGGAAAGGTTGAATGGTAAATCATTAAGTCTCAACTGAGGATATAAATCAATCATAATAAGGATTAAGGACATACATGTTAATATTCCAATCATCTAGTGAGCACAAAGATTGCTGACAAAAATCTTCATGGCGCCTTATGTTAGTTGGGATTATCATTGACTTTGGTCTTTGGTGCTTCAGAATTTTGGCCCTCCGTTACTGGACATGTTTACCCAATGGTCCTAACCTCAGGTGACATGCAACTACATGTCAGTTTTAGTCTTTCAGGCAAATGTTGACATGGTTGTATATTTGTATTATTGCTAGCAAACTTGTATGCACAGTTATGTGAAATACGTGTATGGTTTTTCTTTTAAATTCTTGGTTTGTCTGTACGAGCATGGGTAATTGTTGCTTGTGTTTGCATGATGGTCGGTCCACGTCTGGATTTCTTTGCAGAAAGAAAGGAAATGGAATGCACTATTACACAATTTTTTTCTTTCCAATTAGCTATTCTTCCGAGAGGTCATTTAACTGCCAGGTTGGAGTTCCTTTTATATCAACTTGGCATCAAAGGGCAGAATAACTGCCATCTGCTAAACCTCTTTCTTTCAATCAACTAGACTGTTAAGTTGGACTAAAGATTGCTTTATAATTTTCTTTCCCTATTTCAAGATTCTTTATGAATTCCAATTTTGTCTCGATTCTCCTGGATCACTAAAAGAGAATATTAAAAAAATAAATTTGGGCGAACGACGGGAATTGAACCCGCTTAGTTATCTCTAAGTTCGTTCCAACTGTGATCCAATTTTTTTAAAAGTATATACTATCTATATATGGTAAATTGAACTCGAACACACTTTTCACCTTTGGTGAGACTTTGAAGGTGTGGTTACCAGGTACTGCCCGGCCAATGGTCCTTTGGTACTCTGATGCAATTTGATTTACCCACATGATCGATTACACAGAAATTGATAAATTTGATGTACCCAGCTTTCAAGAGGCTGTGCTCT